AAGATTTTTTGTATAATTTATAATATATCTGTTAGAATGAGATTAGCATTAGCCTCTTTCCCATCACCATAAAGGTGCTTTCCAGTGCCTTTTCTATAAATATTTCATAATAATTTTTCAGATAAACTTTACTCTATAGGACCTAAACTTTACAGTTGAAATGGCTAGATGTTACCGTAACTTCTATGCTAACAATTTCTTCTGTCACACTTCTTGCTTGTGGAACTCTCTTCCTGCTTATTTTTTCCAAGTCATCTTTGATCTTCAAAAATTTAAATGCAATATCAATTGTTATCTTCTGTCTTCTTAATTACTGTACTTTTATTGTTCTAGCTTCTTAATAGTGTTTTTTTTTTTTCTAATATTCTTTAACCCTCTGTAACTGCTTCCATCTTAGTGGCTTTATTACTTTGCTTGAGGGTGAAATCAATTGAAAAATGTGCTATAAATACAACAGCAATTAAAATCTAAATGAGATCGGCTGGGATATATATATACTGCAACTATGAAAATTTAAATTTAAAGCTGAACATCTCTGTATCTTTAACATTTTGTGTATATACTGTACCTATGAACACTAATGCGTATGTCCCAATCTTCATAAATATGTTGGACACTATTATAAGTGGAGGTAATATGCTGTCTAAGTAGTTCACCATTAGCAGTGGTTTGCCTATTTCACGCCACTAGTGAGTATTGTATTTTGTTAATGTTATAAAGATTACTATCTCTGTTTTGGTTATTCCTCATTCACTAACCTTTCCTAGGTTGCAACACATTTTGATAGAAAATGTAACCTGCATTTGTGCTATTTTCTCCTCGTACCTCAGGTCCACCACCACCACCACCAATTTTGCTTTCTTTATATATATATATATATATATATTGGTTCCATCAATAAAATCATTATCAGTTTAAAAATGTTCTTCCTTGGACTGAAACGCATTACTAAGAAGTGCTTCCATTTTGTCACTCAATTATATATATATATATATATATATATATATATATATATATATATATATATATATATATATGTGTGTATAGCAGTCTGTAGCATATGTTTGTAATATGAAGTTAAAATGCCTCTTCAAAATGTGATTAATGTAGAAGAGGTGATTGTCTTCAGTTCTGAATCATTTCTCATCTTTTTCATGCATCAATTAATCGGAAAGAGTAATTGCATATCTTCAATATTTATTCCAGTTCTTATAAGTGAATGCTCCCAGCAGATTGTTTGGTAACAATATTTGAAAGTAAGCAGAGCCAGCCAGCTATCTTTACTTAACTTTCTTGTTTACACACCTGACCTCTCTTTCTTCCTCACCATTAAGGAGAGTGCAAAAACAAGGGAGATGTTAAGAAGTTAAAATATACTTTGTCACTTTTTATAGTGCATAACTTATATATGTTTTTATAGATGTTTTTATTTTCTACATAATTGTTATTTATAACACAAGTCTTTTCAAGAACAAGTTTCTGTTTTGTAGTTATTGTTGAGTAATAATTTCATTTGTTTTATCGTATAGGTAATGAGTTTGGAATTTTTTAATGAAAAAAAGAGGACAATGGTTGAAAGAAAGGCAAATTTTTATGTACTTACTCTGTGAATAAATACACCAATGACTCACAGTGCTCAATTCAGGGAAGGGAAGAGCCTTAAAATGTTGGTAGTAATAGTCATTGTTTACAAATTCGCACTTATCTTCCAAGAGTGCACAACCAAATTTAAGGTTTTGTGGTTAATTTTTTTTACACTATTTGGACTGTTGTCTTCATCTTTATTGTCATAATCACAAGTTTTTGTTCATCTTTGCTGTGGTCAGATATTGAACTCACAATCCTTTGGATCAAGTCACTGCATTACTTTCACTGGAAAATATGAAAACTTAAGGAATACGCACATATGCTAGGCCACAAAAATCTCCTAATCTGGCCAAGCATAAAAATGAATACAATATGAGAATCAGTAATACAGAAAACTAGAGAAAAATAACAATAACAACAAATTGTAATATGAGCTGTGGTAAAAAAAATAGTTGCTGTGACATTAGGTTTATAATTCCCAAAAATTAATTTACTGATGTCCCCAAGGACACATGTCCTAGTGGATAAAAGCTGGTTGAGTGATCCTAAAAGTGACTTGACCCAAAGAGCTGCGAGTTCATTACAAAAACTTGGAGAGTTGAGTTACTAAAGGGAGATAACTGAAAACTGAGATATCCAGAAAAGGCCTGGCACGTGGAACTAGAACAGTCTACCCCTGTCGACTAAATAAAGAGTTTGGTTTGAAATTCCAATGTATATCACCTGAAGAGTGCCGGAGCATACAACAACCGAAATGTCATGAATATGACAATAAAGATAAGGACAACAATGTAAATAGTGTAAATGGTTACAATACCTCATCTCAGAAATATAGACAATTTTTTATTTTTTTAATATTACTAGCTTTGTGATTGTCTGGGACGATGATTGTTTTTCTAAATCTTTATCTGGAAGCAAAAGAATTATTTTTCACAAAAGTCCTTATTGGACTGTCTATTAACATTTTCCGAATATTTTTTATATTTTTATTTGATTATTTCTTTTGCTTTTTTCCTCCCCCAATATCCCTTAGAATTATTTTTTTCTTTTTTCCATTTTCTTACATAATTGTTTTCTTGCAGTCCTTATTATTTGGCTAAAAATTACTTTCTACACTAACACAGACTCAACCAAATGTTGATTATTTAGTTGAGATATTTGCACTCATTTCTTTCATACTGCAGGTAATAAAAACAACAAATAAAAAAAAGCAAACACTCTATATTAGATATAAGTAAAAAACAAGAAAAGATACAAACTTGCCTAAAATTTCTATATCTTTTCCAAACAGCCCTAAAACAATTGTTATCATTTTTTTTTTATAAGTTGTTGTTGTTCTGTCAAACCTAATTGTCATCTTCATCATCTGATTGCATTTTCTTTTTTTTTTTTTTCACTTTTATATTGTCTGAGATATATCCCTGCCCTACCAGCTTGATGTTTGGCAGTAAAACTGCAAAGACCACTCAAACAAAAATCTGCATATGTTTCAAAGATTAAAAAATGAGATTAGGAATGAAGACGTGGTAGAATGGAAGATTTAAAGAATTTCTTAAAAGAAAAAGAATTACAAAACTGCAAGAATCCCCAAAAGACTTTCTGTTTTTTAACTAAAGAAAAATGATTTCCTTTCTTTTGAAACTTATCTAGAATTGTTCTAAGCCACTAAGTAGAGAAGTTAAAACATTTGAAATATTGTTTTTTAGATGTCATATTTGGCAGCATAAAACATTTTCACCAGAATCCATTATCAAACAATATGTCTGTATTCTGAGCAGCTGCCTTAATGAAAGTAGTATTGCTTGCAAATTTAATCCTAACTAGCAGTTCACTGGGTATGACCATATGCCAGACTTTGCTTACTCCAATATTATGCATGTTTGTTTATAGTGGCTACAGCAATTTTTAATTTATATAACTTTGATTAAACACGAAAGAAAGTTCTTTGTTGAGGATTTCTTCATTTATTTTATTTATATTTTTGATCATTTTCTTGTTTTCAGGTATATATTTAAATATATATTATCCAATGTTTGAGTACATTCAACTATTGCTAGCCATTATCAAAGGCTTTTGTTTTTTTGTGCGATATCAATTTCTTCATTTTCAAATGTCATCTTTCCGTATCTTCATGAGTCACTTCATGTTCTTGTTTTTTGCACTATATCAGTTTCTTCATTTTCAAATATCATCTTCCTGTATCTTTACGTGACAGCTCATGTTTTTATTAACCAGAAAAAAAGGTAAAATTTTAAGGAAATTTTATGCTATAATGGGTTAATTTCATTATTATTATTATTAGTAGTAATAATAATAATATTCTTCAAGAAGAGAGAGTTCCTCTGGTCTGAAGTGAGATAGCAAATGATTTTTGGAAAAGGCATGCAACTTTCAATTTCTAGGCAATTCTTTCAAAATCTAGATGGTGCCCCCACAAAAAAAAAAAAAAAAACTTTTTACCTATCAGGTATACAAATTTATATTCTCATCCTGGCTGTATTTAATCACGGTGTTTTAGACAGCATACATTTGAACCTTCTTTTTAGTCTTTTAAAATAGCTTTCCAACTCGGTTACACTAAAAGTTTTAGGTCTCTATTCAAGAGATTTCTTCAAATATATTTTTGTAAGTTTTCCTTACAGCCATTTGAGGCCAAGAAAAGGCCCCAAAAGCAGGCAAAACAAGTCAAAAGTATGTCATGTCATATTTATAAGTATAGTACAGTTGGGTGAGTTTTCTAATTAGATTCCTTTTCAACCCAACACTACCAAAATGGCTGACAGATGTAGTTTTCAGCTTACACTGCTCACTCAACTGTGTTATAACTCTAGAACCATTTTTGACCTTTCCACTAAAGTTAGAGTTTTCCCTGCTGAAGATAATTTCATATTTGAAGAGCGCATTCATCATAACACTGTCGGAAACTATTTCTCTCCTCTTCCCTGTTTTTTTTTTTTTTTTTCATTTCTGCTAAGGAAACAAGAAAACTTGGCAAGTCTAATTCTGGTAGTAGCCAAACTGTCCCCCTTCACTAAGGCTTGAACTTGCATATTCTAGGTCAGTTTTCTTGGCTCCTGTTATTATAAATCCATATCATGGTCAGAAAAACCTGAAATCAACCTCCAAGACTGGCCAAGCAGATGAATGAAATTGATGATTAGATAGATAGATGTTGGGAAGTGATGGCTGCCCCTATCAATTTTATGACCGTTCTAGTTGGGTGAGTGAATATGAATAGATGGTAAGGAAGGGTGTCGGGTTGAAGGTTTATAGTTCTTGACTGATCAGGAATAAATAACTACTTGAATATCAGTTTAACTCAAGCAAGAAATACAGATGAATGATGAATATAACCATTCCAGACAATTTTTAACAACTATTAACTTTTCACATTGCAGCAATCAGTTTTCGGCATGTCTCTTTACATAATGTTCTTTTCAGCACATGTATACATTTCTTATCTTCAAAATGAATACTCCTTTGAGTGTGCTCTAGATATTTGACCTTGTGTCAGACATATATAATAGAGGTAGCTATATTTTGGGAGGAACATGCAGATCAGGTAAAGTTGGATTAAGATGCTGGATTTCAGAGAGTATCTTGCCATTCTAAAAAGAATTGCCAAATTGGCAGGACTTAGTATATCTCTAACTGCATTCTCTGCAAATTATCTGTAAGATAATTCTACCTAAAGGGAGCCAACTTCCAGGTAGATGCTTGTGATTCATTTGAACTCAACCAATGTTTACATTTTGACTTAGGTATAAACTTGACCAGTGTCTACCTATAGGCTCAAGTATGAAGACGCCCTATGCCTACTTATGGACTCCAGTATGAAGATGACCTATGCCTAAAAATACCACCTAAACAAAACACAAGTGTTTATATATGATTAAATTAACCAGTCTAAAAATGCTAAAATTCAATGTTTTAATAATTTTTTTATCTTTCCAAACACATTACATTCAAGGTCAAACATATCAGAGGTCAACCCCAGAAAATTTAAAACATTGGAATTACTTTATAATGAAATACTTTCTCTCTCTTATTCTCATTTTTTTCTTTGCGTATGTGTGTATGTGTTTGAGTGAGCAAGCAAGTGTGTGTGTATGCAAGTGTGTGTGATATTTTCATCTGAGAATTTGGCAGGGAAAATTTAAGGAATAACTAATAATTACAAAACTTGTGCATAACCATTTTTATATTGTAACATTATTTTGATTTGTGATCAGAATTTTATCATTTATAATCATATATATTTAATTCTGGGGTCATCAGAGGGACTCTTTTTAACCCAGAGTAGCTGATTTGAACTTTTGTTAATATTTCAATGTTTATTCACATCATGTTCTGATCAAAATATTTATAAAATTACCCAAGGCTCTTGTTTGTGAATTGAATATAAATTACCATGTTTGGCTGAGTTAATCAATATTTCACTAAAATAAAATGAAGCAATGTTATTCCAGTTCACATTTTACATCATCATTCTTGAAATATCTAAGGCAATAAAATGGAGATTTTTTTTTAGAATTTGTTTTTTACTCAATAGAAAATTTGTTTGAAACTTTATCAGTTCATATTGTGTTTTTTCAATGTCATCTGCTTCTTGATGTTTGCTTGACTAATCTTGCTTAAGCTTTTATTGTCTTTCAATTTGTACAGTTAACTCCGGCATTTCAAGTTCATCTCAGTAACTATATATTCACTCTTTTGTAAATAAAAGGGAAAAATTGACTGAAACACAAGTGAAAATATAAAATGAAAATTCTTAGTAACAAAGCTTTAAGAACAAAGTGTATTGAAAGGGAAAAAAAAGATAATTTAATGTTTTTTGGTTCAATTAAAATGATGGTTAGTTCAAATCTTAAAACATGAAAAAAAATTGTTTTCTTTTTCAAAAACAATTAAGTTAGTATACTTCTTATCTTTTGTTTTGTTAATTATTAGTCAAACAAATCTATGTGATATGTCCCTACAGGATGTGGGTGATCATGACTCTCCATAACATTCTACCCCTATTTGTTAGTAATGTTCATCTTTTTATCATCCTTCTAATATAGATCAAGTTTTCCTAATAGTTCAAATAGATATTTCTGTTAACCATTATGCATAATCTATAAAACATATATCTACATCCTTCTGCATTTGTATTCCTCTCTTCAATATCATTTTAAACATAAATAAATATAGCATTTCTTGTATGAGTGTCCTTGATAAAACCACACTGTTCTTGTCCTATTACCAGCCTAAATTTGCTTTGTCCATCAGAAGATTATCACAGATTATCAGCTTAGTTATGTGGCTCATTAAGCTGATTGTCCAGTGGAGCTTGCATTCATTTGCACCTGGTTTCTGAAGAAGCACTACAAAGATGGGTCTACTATGGTCTTCTGGTATGATGCCATTGTTGTATATTTCATTTATCATTTCTGTAACCAATTTTTTTAAGGCTGAAAGCACTTCTTTTATGATACCATCTGTCCAAGTTGCTTTGTTCAGTCAAACATTGCAAAACTAATTTTTCCATCCAATTTTCTTTGCTGAAAGATATTCCTCAGAATAACTTTTATTTTCCTTTCTTTTCAAGATACACAGGAGATGATTGTTGTATGACTGGCTACTCATTTCCAAGTATGTTTTTTAGGATGACTAACTAATCCCTTTTGCAAATGCCTGCTAAGGCACATTTGTGTTTCTTTAACTTGTGGTTTATATCGCAACAATGTTAAGCAGAACTTAGTTTACAGTTTCTGGGAGAGAGACCATATAATTAATATAATCTATAGTTGGAACAGGGCCAATGCACTCATACTCCCAGTCACAATGACTTTTGATTTTTTGCATAACTATTGATGGCTTCCAAACAGATTTGTCAACCCAATTTCACTCACAAGTCTCAGGCCAGCCCATGGTGCTGAATGCTGTAATCATCTCCCCAGACTGATATTATCAAGAAGTCACTTTCAAGACAAATTGACCCTGGTGAGATTTGAACTGGGTTCCTCATAGTTTGAATGCTAACACTCTAACCACTAAGTCAAGCAGAGTTGTAGTAATCATACAGATATTGATAAGCAATCAATATTTGATTAATGAACAGATTTCTTTACATGCTTCCCTGTATCATCCTCAAAACAATATTTTGATATGAATAAATCCTGAAATATTAATAAAATTACCCATGATTCTAGTTTGTTAATTGAATATTGATTTCCAACAGCCATGTTTGACAGAGTTAATTTCATTTTTTATGGCTTGAAATTGTCTGATGGACATTGCAGTGATTTTAAAAGGACAAGAAAAAGATAAAAATACAGTTAAGTGGAATATAAAGAAATTTGATTCTTCAGAACAAGAATAAGTTTGAAATTATTCGTTTTTGATTCAAATTTCTTTCATCTTATTTCTGTTGATTTTCAGGACATGATTAGTATTTAATGCAATAATATTCAAATTGATTAGAGGAAGAAATTACAATTATTATTAATTATTGACCAATATTTCTTATATTTTAATTTCTGTTTCATTTTATTGCAACTGTCAATTCATTTATTCATAAGCTGCACTGTTTAGAACAATGACAATCTGAAATTTGCAATGGAAGAGCAAAAACTGAAAAGAAATTAAGACAAGTCAAAAATTAATATTAATGACAATGCTTTATCTAAGAACTCCAAATAATACTGCATATGATATTATTTGTGTAAATAATGTGACATAAATAAAGTAAAAGATATAAATATTCATAATTATATATTTAATAATAATTGACAATGGTTCATTGAAGAAATTCAGTTAACTTAAAGACTATTTTACTAGGTTTAAAAGCAAGAGAAATAGGATGAAAAAATCCTACTGAAATGTAAAATTAGTATTAATGACAATGCTTTATCTAAGAACTCCAAATAAGTCTATATTTAATATTACTTGTGCAAATAATGCTAGAGGAATGAAAGAAAGTCTACTTCAGAAATCATTAATAATTGACACTGCTTCAATTAAGATAACTTTAGATTGTTACTACTAAGTATAAAATCAAGAGAAATAAGATGAAAGAAACACTAGTCAAAATGAATAATTTTTGACAAGCTTCACCAAAGAGATTCAGACATATTAAGACTATTACTATTAGGTGTAAAAGTAAGAAAAATAAGATGAAAATATCCTACTGAAAAATTAATAATACTTGACAATGCTTCATCTAAGAAATCTGAATAATTCAACATTTAACAAAGCTCTTGTGTTTAATATTGGGTGAAAAATAGTGTAAAAAATGTGCTCCATACATATAGCCTTGTGTAAATCTTAAGGGTGCCTCATCATGGAGTAATGCTTGGTGAGGATAGTCTTGTTAATCATTACTATTGAGTCGTGAGTTCAATCCTCACTCAGTGCATCATATTTGTGGTCTTATGCCAAGGTACATTTTGTAAATAAATGGGTACCTTGACATGGGTTAATGGTTAGTATAGTTGATGGTAACTACTGAATAGTGAGTTTGATTCTCACTGGGTACCTCTTGTGACCATGTGCAAAACTAAGCTAAGCTTATTAAAATAATAATTGTTTTTTCTTGTATTTCTCTTTCCTTCCTTCAGTTTCCCTCTTATCACTTTCTTTCTTCCTCTTTCTCACTTTTCTTCATCACTTCCTTTCCTCGGTTTCTGTTCCCTTTATTGTTTTCCTTCTTTCTCATTTTTGCTATCACTTTCCTTTTCTTAGTCTCTCTCTCTCTCTCTCTCTCCATTATCTTCTCTCTCTTTCTTCTTTATTGCTTTCTTTTCTCTCTTACTCTCCTTCCCCTCTCTTATTCTCTCTCCTCTCTTACTTTCCCTCTCTTCCTCTCTTTCTACTTCTCTTACTCACCTTCCACTTCTCTTAAACTTTCTCTCTCTTTCCTCTCTTATTTTCTTTATTACTTTCTCTCTCTTTTTCCTCTCTTACTATCTCTTACTTCTCTTAATCTCTCTCTTTTTCCTCTCTTACTCTCTTCTCTCCTCTTTTACTCTCTCTTCTCTCTTACTCTCCTTCCACTTCTCTTACTCTCCTTCCACTTCCCTTACTCTCCTTCCACTTCCCTTACACTTCTTTCACCTCTCTTACTCTCCTTTCACTTCCCTTACTCTCCTTTCACTTCCCTTACTCTCCTTTCACCCACCTTACTCTCCTTCCACTTCTCTTACTCTCCTTTAACCTCTCTTACTCTTCTTCCACTTCCCTTACTCTCCTTCCACTTCCCTTACTCTCCTTTCACCTCTCTTACTCTCCTTTCACTTCCCTTACTCTCCTTCCACTTCTCTTATTCTCCTTTCACCCCTCTTACTCTCCTTCCACTACTTCTCTTACTCTCCTTTAACCTCTCTTACTCTTCTTCCACTTCTCTTCAACTCTCTTTTTTTCTGTCTTACTCTCTCTCACTCAATCACTCACTTTCCTATCTTATTTTTTCACGCTCTCTTTCTCTCTCTTAACTCTCTATCTTTCCTCTCTTAATTGTCATAACTTTTTATCTCTGTAAATGTCTCTGTCACTGAGAATGTTCAATTCTTCTTACTTTTCATTCTGTTCCTTCCCCTTCCTGTATAATACTCCTCAAAATTCATGAAAGATTTATTTTTCATCACTTCTGCTATTAAGAAACACCCAGAGCTATGCCAGTCTTAGAATCTGAAAACCACCAGAAGCTGTCAAATAAAAAAAAAATAAAAAAAATACATAAACAAAAACAACTTCCAAATTAGAAAAGCGGAAAAATACCAATTCCATTTGCATTTTCTTATTACCAAGAGTCTCCAGACATTTGGAAGTTAGGCACAATTTTCCTGTGGTGAACAGAAGCAAGAATTCAGTAGACCTCAAAGTACTTTCTTCATTCATTGAGATTTCCTTCCTCCTTTCTTTCTCTGATGCTACCCCACTCCTTTTTCTCTTATTTTATACACTCTCTTTCATTCTCTACACTGCCTTTGGCACTAACACATCAAAAATATCAATTGCTGCATGATTACCTGACCAAAACCCATTGTACCTTACAGTGCCTTAAAGTGCATATTTGTCCTCTAAGCTTCATACAACATTTGAAAGAGAAATAATCATCATTTATTTCTTTCATTTTTGTTTTGTCTATGTTATATAACACAGTGCTATGGAAGTTTTTTTTTCTGAATTCATATGAAAAGCATTATTCTTTGTTATTTAAAGAAAAGAAATCAGTCCTAAATTTCATTTATTGAAAATATAGTACTATAGATTTGCCAAAAATATAGTAGCATAGAATTACTGAACATTATAGGTTTATTGAGAATATTGTATGTGTATTTGTAGGATGTATGATGAGATAAACTGGAAAAGCTTATAAATGGCAAAACACATCAAAGTTTTTCCACTTTGTTTCATCTCCAGAATATAGCATTGTAGATTTATCAATAATAAATTTATCATTGACTTATCAATAATATAGTATCATAGACTTATTAAGAACTTAGTATCATAGACTTATCGAGAATATAGTATCATGGACTTATCAATATCATAGACTTATCAAGAATATAATATCATAGACTTATCAAGAACTTAGTATCATAGACTTATTAAGAATTTAGTATCATAGACTTATTAACAACTTAGTATCATAGACTTATTAACAACTTAGTATCATAGACTTATTGAGAATATAGTATTATAGATTTATCAATATCATAGACTTATCAAGAATATAATATCATAGACTTATCAAGAATATAGTATCATAGACTTATTAAAAACTTAGTATCATAGACTTATTAAGAACTTAGTATCATAGACTTATTAAGAACTTAGTATCATAGACTTATTAAGAACTTAGTATTATAGACTTATTAAGAACTTAGTATCATAGACTTATTGAGAATATAGTATCATAGACTTATCAATATCATAGATTTATCAAGACTATAGTATAATAGACTTTCCAAATTTTGAAACTGCTAGTGTGAGTGTGCAAATTTCTGTCAAAGATGGGTAAACTGCAGCCTGTGAGCTACATACAACCTGCCTGATGGTTTTATACAGGCCTCCAGAATATAACAAACATTATTTTTTCAATGTCCATTAAAAGAAATTTATTTGTTTTTTTTTTTTTGTTCCATGTTACACAAAATAATAATCTATTCAAAACAGGAATGAGGAGAACAGAAGATAGAAACCATATTTATTTTACAATAAATCCCATTTCTCTGGAAACTCACTTCCTACAAAATCAACTCTATCTACTACCATGAGCACCTGGATCTCTATATACCAAACTGTTCCAATGTCATTGCCCAATAATCTGCACAATGTAAACTAATTTAGGGATCAAGGTGCAGGAGATAAACATATGACGTCATTTCTGCATTTTATGATAAATGTCTCACAAGAGTTACCAAGGATTTTTTTTATTATTGTAAAAGATTTTTTTCTCAGTTGTACAAATCTCATTAATAGTAAAAATTATATTAAATATTAAACTAATTTTCCATACATCTGTGCAGTCTTTTCACAAAATGTTTTCCTATAAACAAAAACATGTACAAAGCACAGGTGCATGTCTGATTGTTATTTCTATCACTGTTATGAAACTTGTGTTGTTATTTTGGTAAGGACCACTGGGACAACAATGAAAAACATTTGTCTACTTCTGATTTATGTTTTATTTCTAAATTAGTATGAAATAAAAGAGACAACATTTTGGACTGTCCTGTATTTATTTAGAAAGATATTAATTGTGTTTTTTATTTGTCTGACAAGCCTATGCCAGATCAATGTATAATAAAGCCTATGCCAGATTAATGAATAATGAAGGCTATATCAGATTAATGAATAATAAAGACTATGCGAGATTAATGAATAATGAAGGCTATGTCAGATTAATGGATAATAAAGCATTTGCCAGATTAATGCATGATAAAGCCTATGATTTATTAATGGCAATAAAATCTATGCCAGATGAGTGGATAATACAGTACATGCCAGATAAATGGATAATAAAGACAATGCCAGATTAATGGATAATCAGACTATGCCAGATGAGTGAATAATAAAGCCTATGCCAGATAAATGGACAATAAAGCCTATGCCAGATGAATAGATAATAAAGACTATGCCAGATTAATGCTTAATAAAGTTTCCTTTAGACCCAGTTAGGATTTGATTTCCTTACTTCAATGTGATTTCCTATAAAGTTTATTTTCCTTTAAGAAGCTGACAAATATACGGTTACAGCTGCCATGAGTTACAATGAATTTTGGTCAGGTAACAATGCAAAGATTCATACATTTGATGCACTGCCAACGGTTTTACAAAAGAAATTCTTTGAATAAAGAGGTTGGCAGTGGCCAGGAATTAAGGCATATATTATTTACAGAATAGTTTAGTTATCTCTCTCTCTCTCTCTCTCTCTATATATATATATATATATATATATATATATATATATATATATTCAAAATTTATTAGAGGTAATACTTAATATTTTAAATAACTGTCTCATTTTCATTTATTAAACAGTGTGTCTTATGTTTATTGTTGTGTACATTCCAGAAACCTTAGTAAAGAAAATGCAGGCCAATAGATGTAACACACATTGTTTAGTAAATAAAAAAGAAGTATCCATTATAATAATGTTTGAATAATAAATATGTCAGAATTAAAATTAAACTATTAATTATATATATATATATATATATATATATATATATATATATATATATATAACAACCACAAATAAAATTTGCAACCTCTGTCAACAGGAAAAATTACCAATTATGACATTTCCAGATCCAAAGAACCATTTGAACAGAATTCCTAAGTCTTGAGTTCTTGCATACCTATGAGAAAATTCCTTAAGCACATATGGGGCTGGTTAAAAACAAAAAAACATGTTCATTTCAATTAACCCTCTACATATACTTTTATAATACTTTTCTTCTTCTTCTTCTTCTTCTTCTTCTTGTTCTTCTTCTTCTTCTTCTCCTCCTTCTTCTTCTTCTTCTTCTTCTTCTTCTTCTTCTTCTTCTTCTTCTTCTTTCTATTACACCCAATATAATGCATTTGTTTATTTATTTTTTCAATAATATAGCGTTCATTGGGCTTTTAAAAAATAAAGCTTTAAGAGGTCAATTGATAAAAATCACCTGAGGATCCCAAGAGGTTGAAACCAAGAAAGTGGATTCAACTGACCTCCTGATTTTTAAATATATATATATATATATATATATATATATATATATATATATATATATATATATATATAACAAAAATGGTAAATATAGGTAGGTATATGAGCAAATATCAGATATTTGTGTAAGAGTCCATCTGAAGAGTTGGAATCGAATCTTCGACTCTAATGAAATAAATATAATGTTCGTTTTCACTATTAAATTAATTATAACACCCTGAGTGCTGGTGTGTTAAAAAACAGTACTCAATGTAAAATAACACAGCTAAAAGTTTTCTAATTTAATTTATACTTTGATCTTCAAAAATTTAAATGCAATGTCAATCATTATCTTATGTCTTCTTAATTCTTGTTCATTCATTGTTCTTTCTCCTTAATAATGTTTTCTTTTTCTCATATTCTTTAACATCTTTGCATCTTAGTGTATTTACTGCCTTGCTTGAGGTGAAATAATTAAAAAAATATACATAGAAAAGATACATAATAATTTTCATGCTAATGTTGGATATATTCTTTATTTTTCCTGAATATGGTTGAAGGCATGCTAGTGAAGCACTATGAAAAAGAAAGTGAAGGAGTATTTAAAATGAAGGTATGCCTTATTGACAATGATGTCAGTGCAATATCTTTCAGAGAAACTGACATTAGAGATTTCGGAGCTGCATAAATGTCTACCTCAAGGATCTCTTGAGATTGGTACTTCTGTTGATCCTTCCAACCCTCTTGCCATTTCCCAGTTTCTAGGCCAATCATCTTGGTAAGAGTTTAGGCGTTGCTGTGGTGATGACTGAGAAAATGCATCCCAGAATCTTGGTTTATTGAGGAAAATAAGACAGAGACACTCCCAATGAATGATGGTGACTTCTCTCTGGGAAATCTTTGGTTTTTGTGGTTTGGTTTTCTTTTAAATCCATTCTCATTTTGCAGATTCTGATTTCTGTCATTGGATATGTACAAGATTCCTGACAAATTTGTTTGTCATAAAGGAATGTTTGTAAATCAAAATAATCTCTTGTTAGTATTAATTGGTTGGAATAACAACTTATAAAGCTGAATATAAATTTTAAAGGGATATATATATATATATATATATATATATATATATATATATATAAAATGTGAACATTGAAGTCAACGCTCAGAGGCGACAGACTGTTTCATGCTGATGCAATCGTCAGGGCGTCAGGATGCAATCAGCAGCCTGATGATTGCATCCAGCATGAAACAGCCTGTCACCTCTGAGTGTTGACTTCAGTGTTCACTTTTATATTTATATTTACATACGCTCTATCTCTGATATCAAGCACTTTATCCCATAAGTATAGCACACCTTAAAACTATATTTCTTCATATATATATATATATATATATATATATATATATATATATATATATTGTTAAATATAACAGAAAATGAATGTCTATTATGTCTGTTCATGAGCCATTCTAATGTTCATATGTTTGCTTTAATTTCAGGTGAAAATAAAAGACAATAATTGTCCAACATTTGTTTATTTCTTTTATTAAGTTGGTCCTTGATATGAGCTTTCGGTTCATATGAGCCATCTTCAGAGTGGTTATACAGACATTTTAACAAAGATATTCACCATCGAAGATAATATCTTGTTATGTTGACATAAAAGAATGCTATGCAATGATAACCAAATATATATATAACCAAATCGGTAAATATAGGTAGATATACGAATGAGCAATCTTATACAAATACATATAAATACTGTATAGTGTAAAAAAAACAAACAATGCTCAATGTTAAATAACAGATATATATATATATATATATAGAGAGAGAGAGAGAGAGAGAAAGAGAAGCAAATGGAAAACTTATCATATTTATTCATATTGTCCTTTTATAGATATACTCTTTCTTGAAATTTTTACATACGTACCTATATATATATATATATATATATATATATATATATATATATATAAATATAAAAGAGAGAGAGTGATGATATAGGAATAAATAGGTAAATGTTAATGCAATCTTAAGAATTGATCTGAAAATTTATTTTCCTACAAAATATAAAAAACTTTATTTTTCTACAAAATATATTACAAAATTAATTTTTCTACAAATTTCATAAGATAAATTAATTTTCTTACAAAATACATAAAATATATGTAAGAAAAATGTGTTTGCAAAATTTATTTTCCTACAAAATGCATATGAAAAAATTATTTTTATTACAAAATATATAAAACTTTATTTTCTACAATATATAGAAGAAAAATTTGTTTTCCTACAAAATGCATAAATTTAGCCAAATCTTTACCAATTTTATTGTGTTCTTAAAATGTAGAAATAGTGTAATCAGTTTTATAAGTTATACATAATGTTTTTTGTCCTTTGTGTTAAGTAAATGGAGAAAAGATATTTCTTCATTTGGAATAATTGATGGGAGGATGTTTGTTGGATGTAATCTTGTTCTTTGAAATTATTCCTGTAAGATGAGGATAAAGACACTGCACACCTCATCTTCCACCCATCTGGAAGGCTGTCAGAGACCGTTTAATGATAAAAGCTAGCGTTTAAGTTGTGTGTCATGATGAATTAACCTCCCACTGGCTAAAGATTGGTCACTAATGGTTTTGGACCTTGGACCACTTACTCAAACGATAATGCGTCACATGTGAAACAGCAGTGAGCTAAACAATTACAGCCGGTGATGAAATTATCATGCACTCAATAACGAACCAGTGCTTTGTCAACATTATCCTAATTACTGCTGGTTTGGTAATTAATTAGTTGTTCACACTTGCAGCAAATAATTACTTACAAATAATTTGTGTTAACAGTTCTTATTTACAAAGTGTAGCTTAGTAAATTATACCCAAAGAGGATCAGAGTCACTCTGAAATCCAACTTGCTAACCATTATACCATGACGAGGGCCCCCTGTTATTTAGTAAAGTAAGCTTACTAAGAGAAGCACCTCATCATGACACAAGTTGCAGTATTTGGGAAGAAGCTGTCTATATGGAATATGAAGGGAATGAGGATGATTCAACTCTGTGGAAGTGGTATGGCTAGTCTTATCTGTAAAGATTGGAAACCATTGGAAAGTAGCCCATCAGAACAATTGCCATTGGAAATATCAATAGAGTGTCATTGCTTAGCACAAGGCCAAAAGTATGGAGTTCCCAGTTAGGATCAACCAGACTAGTTCATTAACCATAACCTAATGTCATGTCACTAGTTTTATTAACTTAAGCTTAGTTCTGGCACAAGGCCACAAGTATTGAGCACTCAGGATAAAAATCACAATTCAGGTGTTATATTTACCCTATTTACATTGTACAGACACCATTGTACTTGGGTTTATTGTCATATGCATGACATTTCAGCAATTGTATGCTCTGGCCTTCTTCAGTTGATATACATTGGAATTTCAAACTGAACCCTTTATTTTGTCCACTGGGGTAAATTGTTCTCCAAGGATATATGGTCAGTGGGTAAAAGGGTTGGTTGAAGTAATCCAGTGACTTGACCCAATGTGAGTTCAATACCTGGCCACAGCAGAGGTAAACAAAAACTTTGAGTGTTGTATTACTAAAGGGAAATAAATGAAACTAAGATATCCAGAAAAGGCATGGCATGTGGAATGAGAACAATCTACTGCAGTGGATGAAATAAAGAGTTCTGTTCAAAATTCCAACATATATCACCTGAAGAAGGCCGAAGCATACAATGGCTGAAACTTTATGAATATAACACTAAAGATGAGGACAATAGTCTGAACAATGTAAATAGTTACAATACCTCATCTCAGAAATATAGACAGATATCAGTAGTTTTATTCTACTAGACTAGCTCATTAACCATTACTTCATGGTAAGGTACGTCTTTATTAAACTTAGCTTAGTTAAACACAAGGCTACAAGTATAGAGCATTCAGTGAGGATAAAAATCACAACTCAGTAGTTATATTCTACTAGACTAGCTTGTTAACCATTACTCCACCACAAGATATTCAACTGAGGTAACTGCTGATTGGTTTGTTAGTTTGTGTTTGTTAACACAGTTATCTTCCTTTTTCACATCATCATCATCATCATCTTCAAAGTAACTAGTAATAGAACAGAGTGCAAGGAAAAGCGAATCCATGCCTTTCTGAAGTGAAAGGGCAAAGAGAACATAAATAGGCTCAGCCAAATTTCAAATTTGCCAATTAAAGAAAACTGGAAGAATACTTAGATAAGTTAGTAAAGGAAAGCAAGAAGAAAAGTCTATTAACTGTGAGAAGTTATAATGCATGGTTGTCAGCAAATGAGACAGTGTAATTTGTACAAAATTTAATTATCTAAATAGTGTTGCAACACATGACATGAAGTATGAAACAAAAATAGAAAGGAGAATAGAAATAGTGAAAGTTACTTTTCAAAAACTAAGCAAAGTATTAAGAGAGAAGTAAATGCCTTTAGGAGCAAAGAAAAGAATGTTAAACATATCACAAAAGAATTTCCTTCTTTTCTTCCTTTTTCTTTCTTTCTTTTTCTTTCTTCCATTTCTTTTTCCTTCTTTCCTTTCTTTTTCCTTCTTCCATTTCTTCTTCCTTCTTTTCTTTCTTTTTCCTTCTTCCCTTTCTTTTTCCTTATTTTCTTTTTCCTTCTTCCCTTTCTTTTTACTTCCTCATTTTCTTTTTCCTTCCTTTTCTTTCATTTTCCTTTGTCCCTTTCTTTTTCCTTCTTTTATTTATTTTTCCTTCTTCCCTTTCTTTTTTCTTCCATTTCTTTGCTCTTTTTTTCTTTCTTTTCCTTCTTTTCTTTCTTCTTTTCTTATCAGCACAATTTTTTAGATTTTTTCCTCTTTGATTTCTTTTACTTTGCATTTTCTTTGTTTTCTTTTTTCTGCTTTGCTTTCTTATATTTTCTTCTTTTTTGCCTTTTTACTTATTTTTTCCTACTGTATATACTTATATATAAGCTAACTTTATGTATAGTGTATAAAATACTGGTTATAAAAACTCACACTATGCACAAGTATATATGATATTTGCTTTTTCTTTCTTCTTCATTTTTTTTTTCTTCTTTGTCTTTTTTCTACTTTCTTTGTTTTCTTTTTCTTTGTCTTTTTCATTTTTCTTTTCTTTCTGCTTTTTCTTCCAATTTTTTTGCCTTCTTTTTTCTATTTTATTTTTCTTCTCTACTTTCTTTTTCTTTCTATTTTTCTTTTGATTTTCCTTTACTTTCTTTGATTGCTTTTTTATATTTTGCATTCTCTTCATTTATTTCTGGTTTTTTAATTGCCTCTTCCTTTCAAAATGATAAAGTAACAAAACAAATTGCTTTTTTATATTTTTATATACAATAAATTTATTGTTTTCAGAAGAAAAGTCTGTCTTTGCCAACAGATGTTATGGAATTCCAGCTTCAAATAAAATATTGACATGTTTCACAATTTCTTTTAAACTTTTATTTCCCTGATGGCAAAATATCATTGTTATACTGCGTTTACATGCACAATGCACACACACACACACACACACATACTATATATATATATATATATATATATATATATATATATATATATATATATATATATATGTAAAGTCCCCAGGGTACAACAGTCTCAACCTAAAATGATTCATGGTTATGGCGCAATCTCCATTAATTTTGTTTCCTGGTTGTGTGCCATATTGTTGTGCATTCACTCTCTTTCATTTGTGTTGTGCTTGTGGAAGCTTATTGTCCTTCATTATGGCACCCAAAGATAGTGCAACCTCTTCTGATGGCAGTGCTTCAAAGAAAAGTAATGTCATCATCATGAAAATGAAATTACAAGTATGTTTCAACTTACACTGAAAATATGCAGAGGATTCTCAATTTAAAACAGAGCTTCATTCCTGCAATGTGTTACAATGCACTGTGGGAATGAAGTTCTGTTGTAAATCGAGGACCCTCTGCATATAGGATTAATACAAATATTCACTGTGCCATGCTTGATAATTTTTCTCACCAGAATCTATCTTACATATCTATAAATCTACCATTTGTCCATGCTTACAATATTGCTGTCACATATGGTCCAGTACTCCTGCTATATATTTAGAGATCCTTGATAAAATCCAAAGAAGAATCTGCAATATTATTGGCCGTAGCCTGGTGTCTCAGCTTCAGTCACTTTCCTATATAGTAAAGTTGCCTCCATATGCATTTTCTATAAATACGTTCATGGTAATTGTCCCAATGATCTCTTCACTATGGTACCTAGACTTTATGAATTTAAGCGCTGTACTAGACTTGCATCAAGATCTCATCAATTTAAAGTTGAGTTGGCTGGATGTAAATCCTATGCTAACAGTTTCTTTTAACACACTACTCACTTGTGGATCTCCCATCCAGCACCATGATTTCCAGCCAACTTTAATCTGCAAAAATTTAAATGTAATGTCAATCACTATATACTGTCCTCCTGATTACTCTTTCCTCTTCCTGCTCATTATTAATGTTTCTGTTTCTAATTCTTTCACACCCTGTAACCTCTTGTATCTTAGTGGCTTTACTGCCTTGCAAGGGGTGATACTAATTAAAAATAAATATTTTCCAGTGCTAAAACTGAATTATTAAATAAAGCTTCATAAGCTTCTACTTAGTTGTTGCTATAGTACACAAAATAACAAACATTTATTAAATATAATTTGTATTTGTTCCACTGCAAATGCATAGCATTAACATACCTGCTGTTAGCAGAGGTGCAGCGAGACCATAAGTTAAAATGAAAAATGTTTTAAAAAGTTAATGCAAATAATTAAAATAAACTAATGATAAACAGAAGACAAATATAGTTGGATTTACATATATAACATGAAGCAAATTTACATATATATAACATGTAACAAATTTTAGACAATATAATTATGTACATACAAAGAAACATTTTTTTTTAAATTTAGCATTCCTACATCTTCAGCACTTAATCTTGGTACATAATTATAAACAATGTTTGCATTTATATCCCCCCTCATCACCTACACATATATAGTTCCAATAATAAAAACATAACTGTAGTGCAATGAAGTACTTCTTAAGGACAAAATGTTTTACACAGAATTCTTACACTTTTTCATTCATTTACCTAACTTATATATTTTTATTACTTCAAACAGACACCATATATATTAAATTATGAATTCACATAACCCTTAAGGAACTGTGTTCCTGATCAAATCAAATTCATGTATAATTATATTGGACATACCAATACATGCCTATCAAGAAGACTTATGTTACATCTCTCTGACCATAGCTCAAGTGGGACTCATTTAAACATATACGGAAACCTACCAGACTCTATCCACAACATAATTGTATAAAATACAAGTACAATAGCCTCATCCATATATAAAACAAGACTAAAAATAATGGAAGCACTTATAATAAAAGAAAAAGCCAACACTCCATAACATCAACTTTGAACATGGCCACAATGTGCCGACCATGTTTAGAAAAAAAAAAAGATTCCTATAACTCTAGATACATACATAAAAAATCTATACATTCAATTAAAAATTGTAAAAAAATCCTCGATAATGGCTATAAAAATAACTGAAAGCTCTCAGATATGCAAAACATTTGGACAATTTTTACACAATTTATGTCCAGAAAAGAAAACAGTTATACAAACACACACATAATTCTACTAGCCAAAATATTATTTTAGTCCAATGAAGTCCTCCTAAATGACAAAATGCATTACACAGAATTCTTCCACATTGTCATTCAATTACTGCACATGTGTATGTATGCATGCATAGATATATAAATATAGTTGTCCATTTGCAGAAATTGATATATAGAATCATATACATACAATAGAAATATTTGTATTTTTTTAAACCCACCCCCGAGCATCCTTCCTTATTTTGGCATACAACAAAAGACTGCTAAGAGCTTAGCACAATTCCAAAACCTATATTTTATTTATGCAGCTTGCAAGATTCACAATGAGGCTCTAGCCTCATCTTGGCTTTTTCCTGATTCCAGAATCATGGGTCAGTTTCTCAAATGTCCTGAAGTCTTGTACAAATGGTGCCAGTCTGCCTGTCTGCTCCACTTATATCTCTGATCACAGCACCTTCTGATCATGATGTTGTTGTGTTAAAAATTTAGGCTGGGTGAGGAAGATGTTGATGTTTTTGTTGGATAAAGAGTAGCATCTATTGATTTCTGTTCGTTGTTGTCACTACAAGGTAACACTCCAAGAATTGCATCATTTAACCACATACACACACACATATATATATATATGTGGTTGTTTTGACATCAGAAAGACTGACCCCTTTTTTCTAACTAGCCAACCAAAGAGAAACACAAAAAAGAAAAAGAAAGGTAAAGATTAAAAAGTGTAAGTTGGGGTCATACTCTATCTCTGAAGTGAATATTGTTGTAAATGAATGATAGAAAAGAATGGAAAAAATGGCTGATAAAGGTCAAAGTAAAGGAAATTGGTTGTGAAACAGTGGCAGGGCTGGGTGTTCAAAAAGGTGGTAGCACCAATGGTTTAGGGAGGAATGAACATAAAATATAGCAAGAAACAAAAAAAAAAAAAAAAAGAAAGGAAAATGCAATGGCATTATTATTTTGTTCTTATACATATGTAATGATGTATGTATGTGTGAGTGTACTGATGAAGGAAGGAGACCTGGCCAGCAACTTATTGTTCTTATTTCCGGAAGTGTCTGAATGTTCATCCAGCACATAGCTCACGAAAGCAAAACATTCTCCCTATTTGACTTGAGAGCCACCCTAACCTTCCACCATTGTAACCATTGATAAAATGAAAGATCAAAAATAAAAAATAAAAAACTTGTGCACAATCTCTAGTTGCCCAGTCAGTGCCATTTTGGAACAATGCAAAAAGGCTGAATAGATTGTGTGTGGTATTTGGATGTGTGTGGTCAAAATACATGAATTGGACTATTCAGTTTCATTCTTTTCCATTTTCAGAGGGTGAGGTGAAGTGAGGTGAAGGGGTAAAGCAAGAGGGGAAGCCAGGTGACCCTACTATTACCCATATATAAAGGGTTGGTGTCTGATTAATCAATATTGTATGGTTATTTTATTCAAAATATGCACAAATATATACGTGCATGTGTGTCTGTGTGCATGCATGCATACACATATATGTGTCTGTGTGTGTGTGTATGTTTGTTTGAATGTGTATATATATACAAGCACTGATATATGTATATATAAAAGAGGATGTGGTAATAATTTCTCAGCATCATAACTTTCCAACATCTGACAAAAGGATCAAATACCAGAATTTGGTATGGAAAAGCTTCTTAATTGATCCTAGAACTTTTCAGAACCTCCTCATTTATCTTGGGTAAATGAATGACAAAATAGAAAAATTTTATGTAGCATGTTTCATCCTTCAGAAAGACTTCATCAAACTAAAATAATGTTCTTATTATTTGTTTCCATTTTCTCCCAAACTTTATCATTGCTTTCATATTCTGCCCATATCCTTCTGTAGAACCACATTGTTGTTGCTTCAAAGACTCCTCTTCATCTTCGAGAACATCCAGCATTCACTGTCATACAGGAGGACAGATCTACATTATACCCATAAATTATAATTTTTGGGAAGTGAAAATTTCACTGAAATATGTTGTAAGTTCTCATCTGAAATCAAAGAAATATGAACTTTAATCAAAATGGTCACAATATACAAAAAAAGAATAGTGTAAATTTAAACTGACACCATTTTTATCCAAATATTTAAACTATAATGATAATTTTGGAAATTGAAAGTTTCATTGAAATATGTTGAAAATTTTCCAAATTCTCATCTGAAATCAAGGAAATGGTTACTATATTTGGAAAGATATCAGTTTAAACTGACACTATGGGTTCAAACTGAAAACTTTTTCCCAATATCTAAGCTATAAATATAAACTAAAATTTTAATTTTTCACCAAAATATGTTGGAAAATTTTCATCTGAAATCCCCCCCAAATACAAACTTTAAACAAAATGGTACCAATATATAGAAAAAAAAACAAGTCATTAGTTTAATCTGGGAGGAAATGTGTTAAAGCAAACTTAATAACAGAATTTGTTCAAACATAATACATATTTTACAACCTTTACTTACCCAGGGTCTTCACTAATGACTCAGTAAAGAATTATACTCAATAATGAGATTCCAAATATCCAGGAACTGGTTCTTTAAAGGTAGGTAATCTTT